TCCATGTATTCAGTTCAAAAAGTACTGAAATGTGATGTATAGAACAAGATAATTTTAGGGTGACGATTTGTTTGTTTATTGTCCTGCGAACCGTTTTGTATCAGATCTGATACATCACAATTAACATCAGATTTTTGCGAAATGATGTCTTCCAGACTTCATGCAATCACTAATAACCATAAGCAAAAATATTATCTCAATATCTTCGCAATATGCAGGGTGTTTGGTGCATCGTGTGCCAAATTGAAATGGTCGAATGAAGGGGTCATCTGCTATCCTTTAAGACTAGTTAACACCTTTCATGCCCTGTGGATTATTTTTAATAGTCTTTTTATTTTTTCATCAAAAAAAGATTCAAATTCCACATTCAAATACAAATTTAAAAAAATATATAAGGCGTAGACTCTGAATTTTAATTTTATTTAGATGTGTATTGTGTTAGAGTACTTTTAAATACAAAACTAGTGACATAAAAGTCATCTTGTTTTTTTTAATTTACTCGCAAAGTTTCGAAATATGTTAAACTCAAATTAAAGCTGTGACTTTACATGGCTACGAAAAAAGAACAGGAGCGACCAGGATCTTCCAATACTCCCTCAAAATAAGTTCTCTAGTCTATCCTCTTGCTAATGATGTGTCAGATGCCATGAATATCTTTTAACAACTTTGTAAGTTCGCTAGTATTGTGAATCGAGTCACATAAGGCAAATATTCAGAATTATGATCTGAAAAATTATGTTCGTTTGAATGATACCTGAACCAATTAAATTTGTTATCTCACTCTTATGAGGTGAAATCTGTCTCGTATCTCTATTCTTTGGTGGATTATACTTGATATATACAAAAAATAAAATTGCATTTTTAACATCTAATTACTTCGCATTCATTCTATAATTCTCACAAATCCTGCTCAAATTGTTGGCCTCTGTTGCGATTGCAGGCTCGACATCTGTTTCGTATTTCGACAGTTGTTTGAATAAGTCGTATTTCCTCCTTAATGGTATCGAAGGCCGTTTCTATGCGTTGGACTGGTACCTCCCTAGTAGGAATTTCCGTGGCGTATACCAGCTCTTTGGCACGTCCCCAGACATAAAAGTCTAACGGGGTTAGGTCTGGGGAACGTGGCGGCCATACGATAGGGCCATCGATCGCGCCCAATCCACGCATGTGGGAACACATTGTCGAGATATTCCCTTACAGTCATCATTTTTTCAACACCTTGTATCATAAAAACGGATGTCGTTACATTTTTTCACTGAGCAAACCCAACTTATTTTGCAGTGTTCTACCTACCCTAGCAAGGGGGTCATCAGGTTTTTTTGACACACCCAGATGACGGTAGAAATTTGCAGTCGGCTCCCCTATAGTATACTATTATGAAACAGGACATAGCCCCTTCCAAATGCCACTTTTCAGGCTGAATAAAAATACCTAATCCTACAAGTATCAGTCCCTCAAATGTTTCAACAGCCTACCAAAAGAGTGGAGAGAATTCAATTTGGAAAACTGCTCCAAACATTGTGAACTTTTTCTGAGAGAAAATGTGTTCCATCATATTGATATTTAGTATGAATAAGATTATCAATGTATATTGTATATTTTAGAGTCTCTCGATATGTGTATGTATGTAGGGAATTGTAAATGTCTAAAAACTTTTTAAATTTCTCGACTATTTTTGAACTTTTTATTGTAACTATTTGGACGAATGAATATAAATGTAATTCATTACACAGAATAAACTATCTATCTATCTATCTATTATAAACTTGTGTCCGGAAATGCTTCATTTCAAAGATACAGAGGATATTGAAATACAGAAAACAAATCATGTTTCGATAAACATTTCATAGGAAAAAAATTAGTATATTTTGACGAGACTTACCACATACACATACTTAGTTTTTGTAATGTTCTAAGCAACTTCACTTAGCGCCCTTGGAGCGAAGCAAGTAACATGCATGGATATAGAAAATAGTAAAAATTTCTCGAAAACAATCACCCCCGGCGTTGAAGAGGAAGTGTACCTCTTTTTGGAAAAGGTGTGGGAATGAGGTTGTCATGGAAAGTACCAAAAGTTTACTGGCCGAAATGTTAGGGCAATTTGAAATAAATTATGAAAAGCGTACGTATAGCGCCCCATAGATGTTACATGGAAATTAATAGGAAATTATGATTTCCCATAACAGAAAAACCTCGGATACCAAATTTTGTGCAAATAACTCATTTTTTGCAGAAGTTAAGTATTCCAAAAAAGCGAACAAAAAAATCCAATTTCAATTTTAATACCCTGTATCTCCGAAATGAAGCATTTTCGGACACAAGTTTAAATAGACTTTTTTTCTCGAAATTGTCTCAGGAATACTTCACTGGAATATTTCAACTTACGTATGTTACACCCGATAAGAAGTTCGTCATCAGATTGGAATAAATATTTTACCAAAATATTGTATATTGGCAGTCCCTATAATTTTTTTTTATCGATTGGAGCGCACGAAAGGGAATCCCTATGATGTTCAAAGAACATCGTGCGTTCCTAGGGAGGATAGGGACAGGAGGTAGGTATTGGAATTTTTTTTGAATTTTTGGAGATTATATGTTGTTGGGAATACTTCCACAGGCAATGAATTCCAGAGCCTAGCCGTTCTATGGATGAAGGAGTCTTGATAAAGTGCTGTTCGACATCTTTCGAGGTTGACAACGAAAGGATGTGCTGACTGGGCTTGTCTAGTTCGTCTGATTGGTATTGCTAGTGAAGGGATGATTGCAGAGATTTCCAAAAAACATTTCCCGTGGAAGTATCGATAGAAAAGTGAAAGGTCGCCGACCTTTCTACGGTGTTCCAATGATGTCAAAGAGTGAGTGAGTGTGGCGTCACCCACCAGGCGAATGGCTCTTCTTTGGATGGAATCTAAGAGCATCAGCGTATGTTTTGGTGCTGAACCCCATATGTGGGAACAGTATTCTAGAACAGGCCGTATCTGCGCTTTGTAGATCATGAGAAGCTGTTGAGGTGTAAAGTAGCTTTTCGCACGGAACAAGAATCCGAGTTTCTGTGAAGCAGCTTTTGCGATGGATCTGACATGATTATCCCATGAAAGAGTGTTGCTGATGGAAATACCGAGCATAGATATGGTGGGCTTGGTGGGGATGGTGGAGCCAGACATTACAATATCGGGCATACTGAGTTCCGCCTTTCTAGAGAAAATGCAGGCTTGAGTTTTGGTGGCGTTGAATTCAACTAGGTTGTTCGTTCCCCAGGCTGTGATTTCAGCAAGATCTTCATTGAGAGCATTGACCTGCCTGCGCCGTGAGTTCTTAGTTTCCTGGGAAGAAATGGGAATTCTGGAAGAGAACGCAGTATGGAGGGTACTATCATCTGCAAAGCTGTGGATGGGGCAAGTTGTTACCCCCAACAGATCATTGATAATAATGTTGGTGCCAAAAATTGATCCTTGTGGAACGCCGGAATTGATGCCAATGGTATCAGACGATACACCGTCCACCACCACGTGAAGCGATCTGCCTGAAAGAAAACTCGATAAGAGATGGCATAGCTGAGGTGGTAAGCCGTATGATTCGTGCCAAACACGGTCGAATGCTTTCGATATGTCCAACGCGACAGCTAGAGATTCCCCGTGTTTTTCTATTGAAGATTGCCATAAATGGGTGACGTAGGCAAGTAGATCTCCAGTAGATCTTCGGTGGCGAAAGCCGTATTGTCTATCAATAACCCCATAAGTTGTGTTGGTTTCATCTCTGGGTATATTAGAATGATTAAGGAATAATTATTACAGAATCTTTTTGGAATATTTTGAATAGGCCAGATGGGCGCAGTGGACGACCGCGATGTCATGGGTTTGTCTCAGCTAGAGCAAGGAATATTTTTAATATTCAAGACTGGGGATAGTCCTGCACAATTGCAGGATTCACTCTTGTGTTCCAATTAACAGTGCTGCTCCTATAAGGTGGCGTATGAAGTTGGTAACAACGCCTACACAAAACATAATTTCAGAACAATTTGGACTGATGGAACTCAATGGAGGTCAATGGTCTCGGTACTTACATACCTACCAACAAAGTACAGGGTGATTCGACATACATGTCCCCCCCTCTAGCTCAGTTATTTTTGCACCGATTGCAAAATTTTAAATATCATCTAAAATGATTTTCGATAGAGTTTTCTTCCGCTACATCAGAAAATACAAGGTGCTCGAAACAAACGATCTACAGGGTACTATTTGATTTTTTTAAATGAAACACCATCTTTTTCATTGTATTTTTAGATTCTCCCTGAAAAGCTGATTTCATCAATGTATCACACTTGAAGTCTAGCGAAAATGATTACAGAGATATAGGGTGTTCAAAATCGAGATTTTTCAACTTTGGGTTTTTTTTGGGACGAAACTATTCATTATCGGTCGAAACGACTTTCATGTCAATCATGTCCGTATCTTAACTTCTGATTCACTATCTACTGACATTTGATAATTGGAAGATACAGGGTGATCAGAATTCTGAATCTTGAACCACACTGTATATATGTTCCAATTAAAGGTCAGTAGATAGTAAATTAAAAGTTGAGATAGGGACATTAAAGCCGTTTTGATCAATAATGAATAGTTTTGCCACAAAAAAAATCCTCAAGTTGAAAAAAATCTCGATTTTGTGCACCCTATATCTCTGTAATCATTCCCGCTAGACCCCAAGTGTGATGTATTGATGAAATCAGCTCTTCAGGAAGAATCTAAAAATACAATGAAATACAGGGTGTTCCATTCGAAAAAATCAAGTAGTACTCTGTAGATCGTTTGTTCGGAGCACCCTATATTTTCTGATGCAACAGGTAAAAAAATTCTGAAAAATCATTTCAGATGATTTTTTGAATTTTCAAATCGGTTTAAAAATAAGTGAGCTAGAGGGGGGGACATTTATGGTGAATCACCCTGTACATATACCTGCTACTACTTCTACTTTTAGTATAATTAATAATCCTTTACCAATGTTGATTCATCAATATTTAATATTTATTCTTGGATGTACCTATTGATTAGGTGGGTTACTTATTTGACTATACAGGGTATTACAACATATCATCAAGAATTAAATTCAGGAAAGTACATTTTAGTGAAAAATCACAAACCTATACATTTAAGTTGATTTTTTTGTAAAGATCAATGAACATAATCAGAATTTATGCAATTTTTGTATTGGTCTCTGCAAAGGATGAGCTAGTAGCTTTGCCATGGAGTTATGCAGTCTTCTTGTGTCCCTACACACAGGAAAGAAATATGATAGTCCTTTTTTATCCAGGCTTTGTAAAGCTTCAAATATGTTATTACAGTTATTGCTGCGATCAACAGGTTCATGTGTGAATAATACATCAAAATAAAAATAGGGTTTCTTCAAGATGGTTTCAATATTGATATCTGGTTTGTATACTGGAATAGTATATGAACGTCCATAAAGGAGTATTGTTCTAATAACAAAAGTAGGAGCAATTTCATCACTATCAGTTTCTGGTACTTGCACATGGTGTGAAATTTCTTGAAGTAAATTATTCATATTAAAAGTATCTTCTACGTCACATTGAGTGATTCTTTCAATTTCTTGATTCAATTTCCTCAAATCATTTGTAAAATTCAAATGCCACTTAGCAGAATTTTCGTTGAGAACCACCAGAGCAAATTCATTATCTTTATTAATCAAATGTTTGAGCTTCAAAAACAGATGTAAACTTCTGCGAAACATGCTCAATGGTGTAAATTTAGATTTCTCTGTCATGAATGGGGTACAGTTCTCATCTTGGGCTCTATCAATTGCAAGAATAATTTTTTCCCGCACATTTCCATTAAATAATGTACCCTTGCTGCGGTCTTCAAAGACATCATACTCTCTTAAATACTTTTGATTGACCATGTTTTCCTGTGAACTTTTAATTTGAATGGATAATTTTTTTTGTTTGGTGCCAGGTTTGATTGCTAATTGTTCCATTGTTTGTGACATTTTATTACTTTGATCATTTTCATCACTTTCATCGCTAATACTTTCCTTCTCATCAGTATCTCTTTGTATTTTTATTGGGATTTTTCTTTCAGCCATGATACAAAATAATAGAAATATTACAAATCTTCATTAAACGCTTTTAATCTTCTTTTAATAGAGGTGAGGAGGTGTACAACTGAGATACAAACTATCGATAGTTTATACCATCGATAGTTTCGATAGTATCATTTTCAAAAACTCGATACTATCGACAGTCCTTTCGATCGATAGTTATTTATGTACCAAGCCAAGGCTGAGATGTTTATGAGGCTAGCAATCAGGCGAGACAATAGACAGTTTTTCGCCGAGGTGCATATTATATTTTTTAGTCGACCTCAGACACTTATATTCACATCACGGTCCTATTTACACGTGAAATCTACCGGATTTCGTGAATTGATTTGAGAACGGCAAATGATAGTTGTTGTCAACCAAGGAGTTATAATCCTTGGTTGTCAACTCACTCTCCATGCGGACCAGGGTTGCCAGTTTGATTTTTATTCCATCAGTAAATACCTTGTCAAAAATTCAGTAGATTTCAATAGACCTGTTTCAGATCTATTCAATGCTATACGAATTCCAACATAGGATGATGAAATGAACCTATGACGTCGGAACATTATCATACACGAATAATCGTATTCCTAATTCTCAATTCAAAAATACTCACAAGTATCACAAAATACAGCTACAGGTAGGTACTTGATAGGATTCAAGTATATAAAATGCAGGAACGCATTGTAAAAATGAACAACAAAAATACAAAATGAATACAAAATAAACGTAAGAAACAAACTGTTATTAACAGATATAAAAAATTTATTTGATCTGAATCTGAAAAAGAATTGACCTTTTTGTACCGATAGCTTATCGAGAGTATCAAGCTTTTGGGTGAAGTAATCTGTGATAATTAGGATAACAAGCGTCTAGCTAGACCAGCGAATCTTTCAAACCTCAAGGTTATGAGAAGGTTATTCGTGTTTATAAGACTTATAAGGTAATATGAGCAAAGAAAATATCTCTTCTGCATAAAAAATGAGAGTACTTTCAACCTAGTCCGTCCTAAATGAACGTTTTTTCTAGAAAGTATATTTGAATAATAATATTGAGTGAGCGAAATTGAAAAAAAAAATGACGCCTCGCAGAGATTAAACCCCAGCCACATACGTGGAAGTCAGATACACAGACCACTAAGCTATTGCTTTACTCGTAATAGTCCGAGTATTCGTAATAATATGGTCAAGTAATAAACATCTCAAGTCGAAGTTTCTCAATACAAGGAAGGAAGAAATAGTATGTACTGTGGGTGACGTCACTTGACCTCGATTTTCACTGATTTCATCAGTAATCAGCAGCAGTTGATCAGCTGGTAAAATTTGAATGTAATGTCAATCATTCGAATATTAGGCATTTTCTGATTAATTTATTATTGATGAAACAAGACTTAATGTTCAAAAAACAACGAGAAAAATGAAATAAATGTAACATTCCTTCCCTCTCTGACACATCACACTGAAGCCACACTACCTTTTAAGCTTTTAATAGTCAGCAATTTCAGCAGAACGATGAGTCGACATTTTTGAAATGAATAGTAGTAGAATTTACTATTCCATTGAATAGTCTATTTTTTATATCTTGATTGCTTTATTCTCATCACTTGAGTATTCTGTGATTTTCATGTAATTCTCAATAACCAAAAGACTAATTTAGACAGATCAAGATCATACCTACCCATCACTAATGTCTTTCAAGGTCTTATGGAGGTAGTGGCTATTAGAGTCCCTGTATATACCTTAGACAAGAGTCCGGACACAGCTATACTTCTGTCCTTTTCTGTTTTCAAAAAATGCATTGATGATTGAATAAAGGAATGAGACATATATATCGAGCTCTGTCTTTTCAATTCCCCTAGGATCAATGATTGTCAGAAACAATTTTGAGGGTTAGATTATTTGTCAAACCGTTCATAGCCGTAGGTTGAAGTGAGCAATAGGGCTATTTTGACTAGAATAACTATTAGATTTTCAAATAATGAACAATGGGGTGTTAAAATTTCGAATCGATAATTTTCATAATCAATTTCTGAGATGGCTATCGCAAATTTTCGTCATCAGATATTTCTTCACTTCATTAGATATAAGAAAGATAATTTAAGTGTTCTACGTGGTATCACATATAGCCAAGACAATATAGTTGTTTTCTGATGGGATATGAAAAAATAGAAGATATATAATTGTTTCAATATAATTTTAATTGTGTCGGTTTCCCACCTCTTCCTGCAGTCTACATTCACCTGTAAATTTTGAATTTGATCTGATTTAAAAACACCGTGGACTGATGACATAGCACAATGCAATTTCTCAAAATCTACTAGTTTTGATTTCAAACTTCCAATTACTTTCCGCATCATCTCATTCTCATTTTCTTTCTCAGCGATCGTATCATTCAGTAATTCCCAATACGATGACGACGGAACTTTTTTTTGAACGTCTCTATTTTATAAATTGACGGCACAGCAGACTCTTTCAATTTGAAATCCATCAGCTTGAAAGATTCTCTATCAAAATGGGCCTAAAATTCTTCTTTTTTGTACTGTTTTTTTCAAGGAGATTTGAATATTTACCTCACATATTGCGGATTTCTAGAAATTAATTGTCCATTCTCGACGTTCCATTACATTCTTCCATGACATTATCTTTGAAGGATCATTCGGAAAATTGAATAACTTGAATCCCTTTTCCAATGAATAATCGCAATTATGTACGCAGCAGGACATCGAAATAATTTAAAATGCTAAATTTTGGCGGTCATAAAATTTCAGTGACAGTGACAGAAATTCGAAATAATTAAAAAAAGCGGGCGGGACGACTATGGTGTTTCGTCACATTGTCAGGTGGGCCAACCAAATGAAACAAAATATTAAAAACCCCAACGGCTGTCAGTTTTGTGTCCGGACTCTTGTCTAAGGTATATACAGGGACTCTAGTGGCTATTAGGAGTATTAGGGTCCCTTGATGGAAATTGACGTTAAAGTCATCTAAGAGGGTAGGGACAGATCATAGCTGCATTCTTTTTTAATGATCTAGGGACTTCAGTTTTGTCTACTGGCATCCCTGGCATTGCTGTCACGTCACATCCATGGGCGCTACAGAAAATCATTCTAAATTTTAATGATAGGTATGTACAGGGTATTTACTTTTTGAGGAAGATCATATTGCGAACGAGTATGATCTGATTCTATTCAAAATTGGAAGATATCTGGAGTTTTCCAGGGTTGGAGATAATGATTGTTTCGTTAAACTTGGAATATTATCTGATTCTATTTAAGATTAATATCTGAGGGTTTTCGAGGTCGAACTTTATGATTTTTTGTCAAGATTGGGAAATTGGTATCTGGGGCTTTCCGGGGTCGGAGATTATGATTATTTCGTCAGAATTGGGATATTCAAGATGGCGGATCCAATACGGTGGACGAGTTTTGTAATGAAGATCCGATTCTATTTAAAATTGGTATCTGGGGGTATTCGGGGTAGGACATAATGATTGTATCGTAAAAATTGGAAAATTCAAGATGACGGATCCAATATGGCGAAAGACATTGGTTCATATAATTATTCCTCTACCACAAATAGAAAATATGTAGGATGCAAGAGTGAAAATAGCGTGCCTATAAGTTATACTGCGCATACCTACTCCTTTGTTACTTTCATCAATAAATTATTCGAAAATGACTTTTTATTCCACGGAGATGGAAAAATGAGGTGAAGTATATTATATTCTTTATTTTCCTACATATTTCACGTATTTCTTTTTATCAGCCTGCTTTTCGTCCTAGACGAAGTTTTATACATATATAGTGTGATATTAGTAACTCCATAAATTCTTCTCCGAGTTGGATTTCCGAAAATTCATTCGCACACATGACATGAGTACCTACAGTAGTGTAGGTACCCACATCGAGGTTTCCACTATTTCTCAATCATAAGGCTCTGCTCATACAGCTCATAGATAAACTACTGCTCAGCTTGAAATCAGAATTCAATCAGTCAATTCAGTCAACCCTGATATACAGTCTAAGAACAGTCTCTTTTGGTGAAATACATTATAAGCTTTCAGTACAATTTATATGTTCCCTACCTCGCAAAGATTATGCTGGAGTAGTAAACTCTAAAACTATAGGGTTGTTCATCTATATCTTGGTATAGTTGAATCAGGAATTCCATATGGAAATTACGTATGATACGCCAGTGTTCTCAATATAACCTGAAAAACAACGAATGTCAAAAATCTACTGTTTATCCCCAGAATTGAATAAGGATGGATATATATAACTGTTTCACAAACGCTTTAGAGTGAGACGAGGATCTGTCCGTACCTTGTTAAGATGACTTTAACGTAATGTCCATCAAGGGACCCTAGTGCTCACTTTCTTCGAAAGAATGAAAAACACGCCCTTCGTTTCCCCTATGTATTTACATTTCTGTTAATTTGAAGAATACGTGTATGTCATATTCACACTGATAAAGTAAAAAACAGATAATTTAATAATGATAGTATATATTCTAATATCGATATTTTTCAGTGGAAATATCGATCTTTGAAAATATTTGCTGATCGACACCCATCTCTAATAAAATATGACAATCATTTGACATTTGTGGAGGTTAGGTAGGATTTAGGAAGGAGAAGGAAATCCATTGGGCTGTGTGTTGTGTTAATTCGAGTAGGAATATTGTTTTTGGGTACAAAAAGAATCATCTGAATTATATCAGGGTAAAAATTGTATAGGATCTATTTAAAAATAATTCTGTAAATCTATCATGACCGAGTGCATTACGTTTGATCCAAGTTGAAGTTGATTCATCTGAATTGTTGACTTTTTTCATTCAGTTATTTGAAAGTGGTAAGTATTCACTTTAATGTGATGGTATTTCCTGATTTCATATTATATATGATTATTTTCTGTTTCAGAATAATGAATGGAACTATGATGGACCGTCATGGACAGGTCAATCCTAAACTGCCCAGAAATTATAAGCTTCTAGTAGACCCTTTTTTAGTAAAGGGAGCCACCAAGCTTTATAGATATGATGGAATTGTACCAACTGACTCATCTTACCCTCCTGTTATACCTAGAGATCCTAGATCTCATTTGACACGAATATGGACCAGATTAGAAACATTAGACCTCCCAGTACCTAGGTATATTATATATTTCATTGGTGAAAAATGAGAAACATTATTGTATTGAAAGCACTGCAATGATTTCAAAATGTTGGTCAAATGTCTGAAATAATTTCAGAACAATCAAAACAAGGTCAAAAACTACATCAAAGATTATTTTATGACTACTTATTATGCAGAATTCTTAGGATACTACATGATTACAAAGTAACCAAATTTCAGAATAATCACTATTTTATTGAATAGTCTTTTTTTTAATATCTTGATTGCTTTATTTTCATGTAATTCTCAATAACCAAAAGATTCATTTAGACAGGCTTCAGAATTGAAGAAGTTGAAGAGATTTTTTGACCTGGTATTCTGATTCAAGATCATACCTGAAAACTCATTTTGATTAAAGTAACTATTTAAGCATAGTGAAGGAATGTCTCAAAAATTTGATCATAGCCAAAGCCATACCACAGGCCATACCAATATATAACCTCACTAATGTCTTTCAAGGTCTTATGGAGGTAGTGGCTATAACACCATTGAGACAGCTATGTATAAAACTGACACTTGTTTCTCAACAAATTACAATAATGTGAAATTATTAATGGAATCATAGCATTTTATACAGTGTGTCCTAGCCAAAACTTCTCATTCTTTTTATCTCCAGAATCATAGAAACAACTGAAATTTGTTCAGACCAGTTGATTATTATTTCCTTTATTATTCACTTGAGAGATTTTTTTCTCACAGTACTTCATCATTGTGCTAACAGTCCCTGTTTCACAAGACCACCTGCTTCAGAATTTTTTTCAGGACTACTTATCATAGAAACCCTATTATACAGGGTGTCTGGAAATTATGCACAAAAAATCAAGGCAGTAATTCTACATGATAAAATAAGAAATTCATTTTATATGTACATGAGTTCTGAAATGCATAGTTGTCAACATACAGTGTGCTGAACTTTTTCAAAAAAATCGTTTTGTTATGAATATCTCAATTGTCCTTCCACTGATTATCTTGAAATTTGGCAATGATTTTTATTGTCATGAAGTGCTATTATAGCCATAATTCAATTGGAATTATGAAATCCAGTGGCGTCTCTGGGGCAACCTACAGAATATATTATTGTCAATATAATGCACGCCACTGATTTTTTTGAATTCTAAATCTTCATAACCTATCTGAATCAACTGAAAATACAGCATTTTGATTTCCTGAATTGTTTGGATATTTTGATTCATTTCCATGGAAGAAAATGAATACCAATTTATTGCATAAATTTGTGCCAAAAAATTCCTTCATAAACTGGGGTGAAAATAAATGCCTGATGATCCATGTCAGTAAACAATAATGCAAAGTGTGTCAAACATATATTATAAATTCTTTGAAGAAAATTAATATTCATTCATATTCTATGTCTAAGGACATTTATCTTCACCTCTGGTTTTTGGAGGAATGTTTTGCACAAATTTATACAATTAATTAGTGTTTAATTTTTTCCACGGAAATGAAGCAAAATATCAAAACAATTCAAGAGACCAAACTGTTGTATTTTCAGTTGGTCAAATGGATATGAAGAAGAATTCAAAAAAATCAGTGGCGCACATGTTATTGGCAGTAATATTCGGTAGGGTGCCCCCGAAACGCCACTGGATTTCACAATTCCAATTCAATTATAACTAAACCACCCCCTCATGACAAAGGATATCATTGCCAAATTTCAAGAGAATCGGTAGAGGGATGTTAGAGATATCAATAAAAAACTGATTTTTTTTTTTTAGTTCAACACACTGTATCATGAAAACTATGCATTTCCGGACCCACGTATATATGAAATAAATTTCATGTTTTCTCATGAAGAATTACCCCCTTGATTTTTTGCGCATAATTTTCGGACACCCTGTATATACTGACACTAGAATGCCCATGCAATAGATCAAAAGAGTGGTGAAATGTATGGACCGATCGTCAATGCGCATGTGCAGAATTAGGTTTATTTTGAACAGTGCTGGATGAAGGAAAATCATTGTTCCTACTGTTATTGAAGCTGTGAGTCATCAGAATCTTTGGTAGAAGTCCATATTGCTCAAAGTGGAGTGAAATATTTCACAGGAAGGAAGGAATGCTCGAAGTCTTAATCATAATTACCCAAGCATGTTGCTTATGATTAAGTAACATCATTAAAAAATTTTGTGGAGATGACTTGGAGCATTCCTTCCTTCCTGTGACATGTCAGAATATTCAAATCAACTTGGTATGCAACTTCTTCATCAGCAATACAATGAGAACTCGACCATCCTGCCGATTGATCGACGGATGTCTGGTTAGCTCAATTAGCAGAGCGTTGGGCATGTAACCCAGAGGTTGTGAGTTCGACTCTCTCGCGGGGCGGTGGAGTTTTTTCATTTTCCGTTGTCACTCGAAATTAGGGCTTTCCATCATCTTCATTATTACGTATAGTACCATCCTGCCATTAGCCATCATTAACGTTTTTTGAGATTTCAAAATAAAATGCAGTTTCCCTGAAGAGTTATGAATTGACATACTAATACCTTATTCACTGGTTTCAATCGATCAACGTGAAACCAGCCATGAGTTCCAGCCACGACTTCGCCAATTATTCAAGGCTTGCGCCATACCAATGGTCGTCTATCACTAATTTAAAACCTGGCTGGCCATGAAATTATCAAAACCTCCAAACTATTTCCATGGATGAAACTATTTTCCATTAATGTATTCCTTTAAGGGTCCTTGATATTCTGTATATCTTACAATATTTTATGGGGCAAGTATTAACCCCACAGGACCCGTTTTCGTGAATTTCTTAAAAAATACACGTGGATGAGAGTTTTTATCTATGAATGTGTTTCTCTAATGGTACTTGATAATATTTCTATCTCACAATATTTTGTAGGTCAAGAATTAACCCCACAGGGCCCTTGTTTCGAAATTTTGGAAAAAAATTATAATAACTTTTTCAAAAACACGTGGATGGGAGTTTTTTTCTATATATTTCTATATTTCTCACAATATTTTGCCTGACAAAAATTAACCCCACCGGATCCCTTTTTGTGAATTTCGGAAAAAAAATCATAATTTTTCAAAATACACGTAGATGGAAGTTTTTTCAAAAAATTTTGTCGGGCAAGAATGAACCTCACAGGGCTTTTTTTTTAATTTCCGAAAAATATCATGTCTTTCAAAATTATGTTTGATGTTATGTGGTTCAAACTCGATAGCCAGAAACAGAAGAAATGTCTTTGTTGTCTCTAGTTATCATCAAATGATCCATCCAGCAGCAGAAATCATCATCATGGGCGATTTCAATGTACACAACACTGTTTGGCTCGTACATTCCAACAAAACGGTTGAAGATGGGCGACAAGCCGAAGCTTTCGTCATCACTCACTGCTTAGAGCAGCTTATCAAGAAATCTACGCGAATTCCTGATGTCAACAATCGTTCAGCCAACACACTCGGCACCTTACACCATAGATGTACGAGCACCACTTGGCAATTCTGATCACACACCGATCTCCACAACCTGCCCATTCTTCATTCCATCAACTACTCCATCACCTCCACGCCTTGTATGGCATTATAAGTCAGGAGAATGGGACGGTCTCCGCATGTTTCTCTCCGAGTTTCCTTGGCATAGAATATGCTTTGATTCTGAGGATCCTTCACAGTGTGCCACGGAAATATCCGAGATCATCACGCTTGGAATGGACACATACATACCTCATTCTTCGAAGAGACCATCAGCTTCAAAACCCTGGTTCAACAAGAACTGTTCTAGAATTGTTGCCTTGCCTTGTAGCCTACCATTGCTGGCGCAAGGATCCAAACCTCGTGACTGGAGCAGAATATGTTAGAGCTAGGAATAACTGCAACCAAACAATAGATGCATCAGAAGAATCATACAATGCCAAAATAAGATCCAAACATCATAGATTGTCCCAATGGCTCCCGTTCGTTTTGGTCCCTCGCTAAAGCAGTCGGAAGGAATTTTACTAATAGTTCATTCCCACCACTCTCCAAAGACGACGGCACATAAGCAACAACATCGCAAGAGAAAGCGAACATTTTTGCAGATATGTTCGCAGCAAACTCCACCTTGGATTCCCAGAGAAGGGTGCCGCCAGACATTCCACCCGTTGAAAGTCGAATGCCTGAAATTGTCTTTCGTCAACGCACTATCAGGCGCATTCTGGTCAGTCTCAAAACTAATAAATCCAATGGTCCTGATGGAATTGATTCCACCCATTATTCTCAAAAAGTTACACCAATTCTCTGCAAGCTATTTACCATCTCCTACAAGTCGAGTATTTTTATATCTTGCTGGAAAATAGCTAGAGTCCAACCAATCCCCAAAGAAGGAAACAACAGCATGCCCAACAACTATAGGCGAATTGTCCTGTTATCGGTCATCTCCAAAGTGATGGAGAAAGCCATCATCATGGAGTTCATCATCTTCGAAGATCAACTGGAGATTTCCTTGCCTACGTCACCCATATATGCAAACCTAATTAGAAAATGGGGAATCTCTAGCTGTAGCGCTAGATATATTAAAGGCATTTGACCGTGTTTGGCATCAAGGACTGCTCTACCATCATACGGCTCACCACCTCAGCTATCCAATCTTTTATCGGGTTTTCTTTCAGGCAGATCGCTCAATGTGGTAGTGGACGGAGTATCGTCTGATACCATTGCCATGAATTCCGGCGTTCCACAAGGATCAATCTTGTCACCAACATTGTTCCTACTTCATATCAACGATCTATTGGGAGCAACCACTCGCCCTATCCACAGCTTTGCAGACGATAGTACTCTCCATACTGCGTTCTCTTCTAGAATTCCCATTTCTTCCTAGGAAACTAAGAACTTGCGGAAATTTCAGCCTGGGAAACAACAACCTAGTTGAATTGAACGCCATCAAAACGCAAAGCGGAACTCAGTATGTCTGATTTAACAATGTCTGGTAACACCATTCCCACCAAGACCACCATAGCTATACTTGGTAC